CCTGTCCCAGAGCCCCGCCTGACGGGCTGGGCAGGAAGCAATCTGCTGTCCCTCTCTTCCTGCTTTTCCTTCTCCCCCTCCTCGTCCTCTTCCTCCTGCCTCCTCCTCCTCTTTCTCCTCCCCCTCCTCCTCCTCCCTCTCTCTCTCTCCCTCTCTCTACCCCCCCACCTCTGCCAGTCCTGGGGCTTGAACTCAGGACCTGGGCACTGTGCTTTTTTTTGCTCAAGGCTAGCACTCTACCACTTGAACCACAGCACCACTTCCAGCTTTTTCTGTGTACGTGGTGCTGAGGAATGGAACCCAGGGCTTCATGCATGCAAGGCGAGCGCTCTACCACTGAGCACAGTCCCGACCTTCTGTGTCTCCTTGTCCCTCTCCCTCTCTCTCCTCTCCCCGGTTCTCTCTGGGCTTCCACCATTTCCTGCATCTTTCTCCAAAGGCAGCCCCCCCCCAACTACCTCAAAACTCCTGAAGCCAACTTTAGCTGGCTTCACCCCCAGTAACTTTCCCCGGAGGCTGCTGCAAGCACAAGCCCAGAGTTCTCGCAGGGACTCTGGCTTTCAGAGCTGCAGTTAGTGGGAAAGAACGGCTCTGCGGAGGGTGTTTTTGTTTTATGAGTTTTAGGAGCAGGTGTATTTTCATTGGGGGGAGCCCAAGTCAGTTTTCCCCCTTGGCAATTGTACAGTGATCTTTTGCAAAAATCTGGCCTTACCTAGTGGTCACCAGCGACAGACCAGCACACGCTCCACCGGGTGACATGCTTAGTGAGCTTTTATACCAGCACCGCGCCTTTGCGGCCATGGAGAGTTGTTTGTTTCTGCACATCGGGGCCGAGGCTTGGCGTGGATCTGGGCTTTACTCCATTTCCATGCTCTGAGCCCGTCACCAGGTTGGCACCACCAGACTCCTCAAAGGGATGGGGAGACTGAGCCCAGACGGGAGCTTCTCACAGATTCTCACACACAGGAGTTGTGGGGGGCAGGGGGTTATTTTTTATTTTTGCCAGTGAGTGGAACTTGAACTCAGGGCCTGGGTGCTATTCCTTAGCTTTATTGCTCAAAGCTGGTTTTCTACTACTTGAGCCATAGCTCCACTTCCAGCTTTTTTACTGGTTCCTTGGAGATAACGTGTCTCATGGACTTTCCTGCCCAGGCTGGCTTTGAACCTCCGTCCTCAGATCGTAGCCTCCTGAGTAGCCGGCTCACAGCCTGTGCAGGCAGAGCACCATTCGCTGCTGTCTGGCTGCCTCCGTCCTTCCCGGGGTGGTGACGGGCGCGCTCAGTTCAGGAGCCTCCTGGTGTGGAAGTTGGAGATGCAGCTCTCTGCTCAGGACGCGGCCTCCTTCAGAACGGGCTGATCCGGTGCCACACAGGCCTCCCTCCCAAGTTCATAGAACCAGGCAAAGCCAGCTGGCTGGTGGAGAGTTCCCAGGGCCCCGTCACAGCGGCGTCAGGGTGCCTGGCTGGGCCGCTGGCTCCGGCTCTGTTGTCGGGGCTGCTTTTCTAGAACTTGGCTTCTGCATCTCCCATGAGGCATGGCGGTCTTTGCCCCTTGCTGACCCAAGAGATGCCAGGGCCCTGTCCCTAGGGCCAACAAATGAACTCCTGCGCCGTGGTGCCCAAGGGCCGCTCAAGGTCATGCGTACCTGGACTCAAGGTCATCTGTGTGTGTGTGGGGTGGATTCAAGGCATTAGGGCCTCCCACCGGACCGCTGAGCCTGCTGGAGGCCAGCCCCCAGCCCCAGCCCAGGCCAGCTCTCTCGATGCCATGATGGCCTTCATCCACCCCTGCCTACAACTAGCACGATCCTTCTGTCTGGATGGCGGCGTCCCTGTCTCATCTTTTTTTTTTTGGTACCAGTCTTGGAGCTTGAACTCAAGCCTGGGCACTGTCCCTGAGGTTTTTTGCTCAAGGCTAGCACACCAACACTTGCGCTACAGCTCTTCTTTCAGCTGCTGCTGCTGCTGCTGCCGCTGCCCGCTACTCCTCCTTCTCCTCTTCTTTTTGTGCTAATCCTGGGGTTTGAACTGGGGGGAGGGGGGGAGAAGGGAAAGGGCCCTGAGCTGCTTTTGCCCAAGGCTAGTGCTCTATCACTTGAGCCACAGCTCCACTTCCTGCTTTTTCTGTGATTAATTGGAGAGAAGAGTTTCATGGACTTTCATGGACTTTCCTGCCCCAGTCCTCAGACCTCAGCCTCCTGAGTAGCTAGGGTGACAGGCGTGAGCCACTGGCACCCAGCTTTTTTTTGGTACTAAGGATTGAAGCCACTGAGCTGCACCCTGCCCTTCTTTCCACTTTTTGGTGCTTCATTGCTGTTTGCTTGCTTGCTTTTTGACATGGCCTTGGACTCGAGATTCTTCTGACTCACCTCCAGAGTGCTGGGATTGCAAGCCTGTACCACCATGCTTGGCGCAGGATGAACTTAACACAGGTCAAGGGTTCTTCCTTCCTAGTTTGATGGGGACCAGAGGAAAGAGCAAAAAGCACAAAAGAGCAAATCTGTTCTTTTTGTTTCACATGTGCATACGTTTTCATAGAAATAGCTTCTTCCAAGGAGCAAATGTACTTTAAAAATGAGACAGAATTGCCTATTGGTGAAAGGTCCTGGTTCACCAGAAAGCAGCCTCCTCTCCCTAGAACACTGGAGGGGGGTCCTGTGCACCCCCGCCCTGCCCATCTGGAGGGAGGAGCTGGCCGCTCAGGCAGGGGACAAAGGTCTCCTGAGAGGCCCGGGGCCTCTCCTTTGCAGAACCACAAGACACCCCTCACTGAGGCAGGCGCCATGCAGCTTCTCATCTGGTGGAAAAAGGCTCGTTCTGACTACGGTCTGTGCTTCCAGCACATTCTTTTGATTATCTGCAGTGGTGGCAAAACATTGTCAAAATGAAAACATTGATTTCTGAAAGCAGCTGAGGCTGTTGGCAGCCAAGTCTGGTGACGAGCCTGATTGCGTAATGTGAATGCTGTGCTTTGAGGCTGCTAACGAGGCGTGCCCCAGGGCTGCCCCCTCTGCTGTGAGGCCTATACCCACAGAGGCCACGGGGCCACGCCACGGACGGGGCCACGCCACGGCAGCCCCTGAGCACCTGAAACATGGCTGGGGAACACAGGTAGACCTGGAACAGACTTTGAGCATATAAAATACCAGCTGGGCACGGTAGAGCATGCCTGCAATCCCGGGACCTGGAAGTTGGCCGGGCACCTGTGCCTCCCAGCTGTAACCCAGGCTACCCAGGAGGCTGAGATCTGAGGGTCTCAGTTGGAAGCCTGTCCAGGCAGATAGTTCGTGAGACTCTTATCTCCAGTTAACCACCAAAAGACCGGAAGTGAAGCTGTGGCTCAAGTGGTAGAGCACTAGCCTTGAGTGGAAAAAGCTAAGGGACAGCACCAAGGCCATGAGTTCAAGTCCGAGACCAGCTCGTTTTTTTTTTTTTTTAAGTTTGGCTTCTACTGAATGCATGTCAAGTTTTCAACAAGCAGCCACTGGGAGTCAGACGGGCATAAGCTGAGACCAGGTCTCAGGTTGCCATGGAAGTGTTCCAACCTGGCCTCCCTGACCGGCCTCCCTGCGGCCAGTGCCCCGGGCATCTCCTCCTCTTGTCCTTTTCCCCGGAGCTGGTCGGGGATCACCACACTAATTTCCGGGTCTGCTCTGGGTAGAGCTGGAACCTGTGTTTCCTGAAGTCTCTGGGTGCCCCCCGCCCTGCCTTCCAGCAGACCAGAGCCCATTCCCGCTCCGTGTGTCATGGGCAAGGTTGCTGGGGGTCAGAGCTGAAACTCTTCCCATTTCTCAGTTCTTCGCTTCCTCCTGTGTGACATTTGCTTTCCCTGATCCGGGTTGTGACTGGGATACAGTGACTTCTAGCAGTTCTTAACACAGGCTGCGCCCGAACCTCTTGTTTCTCGTCTTCTTTTCAGTTACCTTTTGCCAGTCCTGGGGCCTGGGCACTGTACCTGCGCTTTTTTTGCTTAAGGCTAGCGCTCTACCACTTGAGCCACAGCACCACATGGGTTTTTGTTGTGTTTTAATTTTTATTTTTAGATAATGTTTTATTGAGATTGACGACATATATTTCACAAATTTCACAGTATTGTGGAATAGCGATCACTTAGTTGAAGTCATAAACACATTTTAACCTTCACAAGGCAAATTGTCATTAGCATGGTCTATAAAGTTTGTGAATTCTATAAACTTTGAGAATACAACTATTTCTTCCAAATCGGGTCACTTATGGTTGTGTGTATATGTGTGTTATGTGGTGTATGTGTGTGTGTGTGTGGTTAATTGAAGAGTCTCGTGGACTTTGCTACCTAGACTGGCTTTTTTTTTGTCGTTGTTGGCTGTGGGGCTTGAACTCTGGGCTTGGCCGCCGTCCCTGTGCTCTTCAGCACACTTCCAGTTTTCTAGTAGTTTATTGGAGATAAGAGTCTCTCAAACTTTCCTGCCCGGGCTGGCTTTGAACCTCCATCCTCAGATCTCAGCCTCCTGTGTAGCTGAGATTACAGGTGTGAGCCACCAGTGCCTGGCTTCTTGTTTTCTTTTAAATGGTTGTAGGCATTCTTGGGTTCTTCAAATACTTATGGCACCCTGAGAACCAGACGCCAGGAACACTCGGGCTGGTGGGGTAGATGGGAAGTCAGGCCTCCTCGTGATCATGGTAGAAACAGGCCAGACACAAACCCTAAAGGGTTCGGAGATTGCTGTTGGAAACAGCTGTCCTATAGCCTGGTTGTTCTGTCTGGGGATGATTTGGACCCGGGGACTCTTGGCAATGTCTGGAGACAGTTCAAGCTGCAGAGAGGTGCTAGTGGCCTGTGGAAGGTTGAGACTGGGGGTTGCTCATTACAGTCCCATGACCAGCCAAGGCGGACCTGGCTTGCCCGGGGCATGGCCCTGTGCTAACAGCTGTGGTCTGCTGGACACAGGAGGGCCCAAGCTGGCCTGCCCTGCCCGAAATCTTGACCCCAGTCTCTCCGCTTCCTTCCTCTCCCCTCGCAGGTCTTGAAGAGCCCGGCCTGGGCCACAGCACACAGAGGATGGAAATGTGCGCCCAGCAATGTCTCTGGGCCGCCTCCTTCGCCGGGCCTCCTCCAAAGCCTCGGACCTCCTGACCCTCTCCCCCGGTGGCGGTGGGGGCCCCCCCTCGGTCCTGGATGGGGAGATTATCTACTCCAAGAACAATGTCTGCGTGCACCCCCCCGAGGGGCTGCAGGGGCTTGGGGAGCACCACCCAGGTGAGGCGGGAGGGGGGGCCTGGGACTGGAGGTCCTGGGGGCGAGGCCTGGGACTGGAGGTCCTGGGGGGGAGAGGCCTGGGGCTGGAGGTCCTGGGGGGGAGAGGCCTGGGGCTGGAGGTCCTGGGGTGGGGAAGGCCTGGGGCTGGAGGTCCTGGGGGGGAAGCCTGGCTGGAGGTCCTGGGGGGGGGAGTCTTGGGCCTGGAGATCCTGGGGGGGGGCCTCAAAGTTGGGAGTGGGGGGCAGAAATTCCCAGGAAATCGCTGGTCCTGTTTGCTTGTGCTGGGGCTATCACCCTATGAGAATTAAGGACCAGAACTCTCCACTGGAGTGGGGGCAGGGAGGGGACCTGGCCACTCTGCCTGGAGTCCTGGTCGCCTGCAGCCACCACTGGGGTGGAATGAAATGTTCTGGGGTGCTGGGGGGGAGGTGTCCCTTGGGATATTGTCACCATGGGGGGGGGTGTCCCTTGTCACCATTTGTGAAGCCCAGGGAGACGACTTGGTTCTGTATTTACAGGGCTGGCCGTGTTCCAAGTCAGGGCACGGTGCCACAGCTAACTAACCATAGCTTACAGGGAATGTCCCCCAGACGGAAGGGTCCTGGCCAGCCCCGCAGCCTCTCTGCCCTGAGTTGGAACAGAAGTTGTGTGCGTGTGTGTGTGTGTGTGTGTGTGTGTGTGTGCACATGCACGTGAACTCAGGGCCTGAGCACCGTCCCTTAGTTTTTTCACTGAAGACTGGTGCTCTGCCACTTGAGCCACAGCTCTACTTCTTGTCTTTTGGTAGTTAATGGGAGGTAAGAGTCTCATAGACTTTCCTGCCCAGGCTGGTTTCAAACTGTGATCCTCAGACCTCAGCCTCCTGAGCAGCTGGGGATGACCGGCGTGAGACACCGGAAGTCGTCACAGTCCCTTGTCCCTGGGCAGTGACTCGGCCAGTCAGTGGCTTGCTTTATTCCTCCAGCACTGGGCTTGGTTTGCACAGCCCTGGCCCTCTGGTGGATGGGACACAGCTGACAGGGCTGGCAGCTCCAGCCGTACGTTGCCGGGCCATGTGGGGGCACAGGGCTGCCCCCAGGAAGCCTGGCTGCCGCCGGCGCTGCCCAGGGTGCGGCGGGGGTGCAGCGGAGGCCCTCACAGATGTCCGAGTATTTTCTCATTTAGTTCTTTATCCAGTTATTTATGGACAGTCTCCCTCTGTAGCCCACGCTGGCCTCAACTGGAGATCTTCCTGCCTCGGCCTCCTGGTGGCCGGGATGGCCGGTGAGACACCACACCTCATGATCAGTGTTTAAAGTGAGGGGTGTCGGTGAGCCCTGAGCACCTCACTGCAGTTCGGGGGAGTCCTGGATAAGTAAGCTAGGAAGCAAGGAAAAAAATTCAAAGCTAATGAAGTGCTACGTGTTGGTGCCTCACACCTGTCATCCCAGCTACTCAGGAGGCTGAGATCTGAGGATCATGGCTCAAAGCCAGCCTGGGCAGGAAAGTCCAGGGAACTCTCATCTCCAATGAACCACCAGAAAACTGGAAATGGCACTATGGCTCAAAGGGGTAGAGCGCTAGCCTTGAGCAGAAGAGCTGAGGGACAGCGCCCAGGCCCTGAGTTCAGGCCCCACAACCACCACCACCGAATCTAATGAAGAGTATGTGTGTCAGGCCTCCTTCCTGGGTGTTTCGGGCCCTGACTGCCAGGTGCAGGACCAGAACCACCCACCTGGAAGCAAGGGAACCCCAGGTCCAGTCCTGGCTCTCTCCTCCTACCTGCTGCTTCCTTGAATGCAGACACCCGGCAGGGCTGGGAATTCAGGGTGGCCCGAAAGGGGCCGGCACCACTCCAGGCCCTGTGTGCAGTGGGCTCAGCATTTGTGTGGCGGGGG